GGGAAGCACCCATCATACCGGGAGACCGGGAGAACCGCGGGGACAGAGGTCCCGAGTAGCCGTGCCCAAGGAGGAGTAAGGCAGCCTCCCAATCATATTTTCCAGCAAGACGTGGCGGGCGAGAATAAGAGGGTGCCTTGGGCCGGCCTTGACACGGAGCAAGGGACCTCGAGGAGATCACGGCCCTCCTGACAGACCCCGCTGTGACACAGACTTTAAAAGGCCCTCTTGAGGACAGTGCTGCATTGACAGTGTGGGCACTGGGTGATCTCAAGGGTCTCTTTATGTCTGTAAAGATTGGCTCCAGATTAGAACCCATAGGCCAGAGAACCAGTCTTTCATGTAAGTGAGGTTCTCTTTATGTCCAGATAACAGTAGGTCTCGGTGTCTGTATTCTGGATAGCCTTAAAAATTAAGCATCTCTGCTTCAATTTGGCTGTTCCTTTCCAAGGGCCCATTGCTGCCTCTTCCTCTTTGGAGTATGTCAAGTTAACATCCGCTGCTTTAGCTTAAGTGCATCTCAGACACTGGAGGAGATTTAGCAATGTCAGAGTTGCCTATCAGGATCATCATAGTACTAATTTAGTGTTTGAGATTACAGTGTAATTAGCAATTGCTTAATTAATTCCCTCTTCCCCTATAATGCAGACCAATCTGTTTAGCTGTTTCTTTTCAAGTTGGAGGTGATAATTACAATTGTGGACCAGAGATAAAACCAAAACCAACTGAAACCTTCATCCAAGGCTGATTGGAACCTCCCTCTACCCTAAAGGCATTTTTTTTAAGTTGGAAAAATGCTTGGTAAATGCTTTTTTCCAATTTTTTTCACAGCCCTCTGCAGCTCCTGGCTTTAACAGGGACAAGAAGGGCTGAAAAGCCAAGAGAAAAGGCTTTTCCCCACCCAGTTTCCAGCTTAAGGAACAGGAAACAGATGAAACCTCAGCTCTACAGGGAGAGGACACAAGCCTGTTTGTGCTTGATCCCTAGCCTAGAGGACAGGTGATTTGAATTCAAGTTTGTCCTAACCTTTCATTACTCCCTGGCTCTTTGTTTTCAGTGGCTTTCTTTCTAACATGGTCATGACACTGGTTTCCTTGCCTTCAGACTTGCATGGAAGGGTATGTTGACTGTACACAGACCTGTTTGCTGCTTTATCCCAGCAAAACCAGAAACAAACACTGGTTTGGGATTGAGGGTTTTGGAAATCTGATTTTAGATCTGAAATATTTACTGGTCCCAGGGGTCTTTAAATCCAAATGGAAATTCTGTAGCACATGTTCATTTCTGTTGCCTAAAATGTCATAAAACTTAATGTTTTCACCCCCATTCCTGTCCTTGCTAATCTGTAGTAACTGCCTGTGTGAATGCTGTTATTCCACAGTAAGTGGAAGTTGAAGTGCAGCACTTTAGTATTCTTTCATGACAAGTTAGCGTGGAGTAACTTTCACTTGCCATGAGGTGAAAGATGAAAGGAGCTATCCAGGTTTTTTTCTCAGTGCACTGGTGGGCAGTCAGTGCAGGAGGTATGAATGGGTAAATGGCCAACCATGGTGGAAGAACTATGGATGGTTCAGCTGTGTTTATTTATATTGTTTATGGAAGTACCAGCAAAGAATGGGGTATTGTACAGCACCTAGCAGAACATGCACGGAGTAGTAGATGGTGTGAATGGAAAGAAAAACGGGTGAATGGAAGGAAAAGGGAATGGAAGACTAGTGAAGAGGCAGGGCAGAGGAAGGAAGAGAAGAAGAGGAGTGAAACTGAAAGGACTAAAGGGAGAAGAAAGAAGAAGTTTTGACAACTGATCAGAGCAGAATAAAGAGAATCCACGCCACACTGCAGGAAATTCTTAGAACAGCAGAAATCCCAGCCACAGTTGTTGCTCCTCTGCTGTGTTCCTAGCTCTGTGACACTGGACTTTTTTTCTGTACTATGTATTTTCCTTCCCCACCCTTCAGACAATGGGAATAATCCTTCTTGGGAAGCTGTGAAAATTAATAAATATCTGTAAAATACTTTGAGTTCTTGGAACAGAAGACAGAAAATACAAAAGTAGTGGATGTCATTCACATTTAATTTCACCATGTTAGTGCTTCCTGCATGACAGGGAAGTTTTCGATTAATGTTCTTTGGAAGAGATATTCTTATGTGTATTAGTTTCCATTCATCATGAACCTAATATGATGAATGTTTTTTGTTTTTTGTTTTTTTTAATTCTATTTTATACCCTTTTATTTTAAACCCAAATTTAGAGTCTAAAGCTACAGTCCCTTGTTGTCTTGGTCAGAGGTTACTATAGGATTTTCATGTTGTGTATGCTTTGGTTTTCAGACAGCTGTTATAACCTACGACTACCTTATTTCCCTCCGGGGTGTCCCGCATGGATCAGAGGAGTATGACTATGTCAAATCACAGGTAAGGCCACCACAGATCAGGGGCTTCGCTCCTCAGGTACTCAGAAGAGAGAGAGCGAGTTCTGCCAAAAGCAAGACTCCAGAACAAGTCAGTGAGCTCTTGGCTTGATTGATCAGCCTCTGTACCTTAACACATGGAATCTTAGTGGTGCCAGCAGTAGAAAGAAACTGCTTTGAACAGGAAAAAGGACTCTGCTAGTAAAAATAATTACCTGTCTGCCAGATGGGAAAGATGAGCTATCAGGGCCAACCACCCCTAACCAACACCAGTGTACATCCAGCAGGGTCTGGACTTACTGAGAGGAAGCATGTTTGAGTCTCCCATCAAGATGCCGGCCTGATTGGTCAGGTGGAGGCAGCTCACTTGTTGGAGGAGCGGGAAGACAAGCAGCCTGGTGTTGCTTAGCAATGGTGTCTTGTGCTGCTTGGCCAATTAGCTGGTGGCAGTTGTAATACAAAGAGTAGGTGCATTTAAGTGAGGCAAAGGTGGAGGAGTAGAGGGGAAATCCTTGGGGATTAATCAGGGATCAGAACTTCCTTGAAGAAATGAGGAATAATTGGGCAAACCAAGGGACTCTGCCTTGCCAGGCTTTCTCTTGCTGCCTTTGATATATCTAATTAATATGAATAAAAATAGCATCTAATGACAGGAACTAGGATATAAATGACAATGTTGCCCCAGTGCCCTGTAGTCCTGCCCTGCAGTTCTCCTTTTCACATCAAGGCCTTTATCCACTGCTTTGCAGACCCCCTCAGTCTTGATCTGCAGGCACTTTGCTTTTCATTCTTGCCTCTTCCTGCCTCACACTACTCTGCCAACACTTCTCTGCCTCTATTATACTGGTCCTGGAGCCTCTTTAGAACAGAGGATATGGATGATGCTGAACTATGTGCACCAAACTCAGTTCACTGTTTAACTTAACATTTAGACCCTAAATGTTCAGAAGTGAAAAACCAGTGTATGGGTCTACCCATCCTCTCCCTGGCCTCCAGAGGGCCACCCAACCTCTCTAACATTATGTTAACCTAGAGTTGATCTTAACTAGTGTAAAGTGCTTGGGAGCTCTTAGCAAAGTAGCTTCCCCTCTGACCAAGGGAATTGATTTGCTCAGTGGTAGCTCTTCTGATTGCAAGGGAGTGGTACAGATGCTGTGGGATGAATTGGGGATAGGTGTCAGACTGACCACCTTGGCATCTAGAGTGTTTGCTTTCTACCTGCCTGGGTCTCTGCCACTTCCATAGCTCTATGGTGGCCCTCAGAGCTTGGCTTTCACTCTTGGTTGCTGAGTCTAATTTAGTTGTGGTTGGTAGCAGGTGGAAATCATGGCCTTTGAAAAACATCACTTAGGCTGTGCCAGTGAGTTGATCTGTTCAGGTCCTGGCACATAGCATAAAACCTGCCATCTTTGTCAACAGAGGAACCAATTAGTGCTGATAATCTCATCAGAAACCAAGGACTGGGTGAGCTGTGGAACCTGGATTCCTTTTGCATTGGTCTTTCTAGGCCAGGTCCCTGGACAGTGGGGTGGGAGGAAGCTGGCTGTATTGTTGCTTGTGTGGTGGCTGTTCTGAGATTCCAAGGCTGTCAGTCTGGCCCCTTCACTGTTGATTGGAAAGACTGTGCCATTGAAATTTGGGTCTGCTGAAGACCTGGGTAATCCTGCTGTGAGCGAAGCCTGGGTGGGAAAGTTGCCTGTGCTGCAGACCTGCCTGTAGTTTGACAGCTGTTCCCAGCAGCCCCTGCAAAACCCTAACCTCTTGCCTTGTGTCTCCATGGCCTCATTAACCTCTGTCATGCAGCTTCTGATGGTTTGTTGACTCATGCAGAAAGGACCGCGCTTGTTGGAGTTCTGCTGTGCTGCACTCTCCCTTCTTGGCATTCAAGACTTAGCTGAATCGGCATTTGTGCCTTGGCACAACCAGTGGCTAGTGCAGTAAGTTAGTGCTGTGTGAGGGCTCTATTCCATGGCCTGCGTTTCCTTCAAGACTTAGACTGCAGAGAGGGGAACGCAGTGAAGCAAATTTGGGCTAGCAAAAGAAGGCAGAACACCTTCAGCAGGTGTAGGACCTGCGCCCACCTTGTCGTTGGAAAGGCTTCGCTAAGTGTCAGATGTCTGCTGTCGGTGTGATTGGCTCCAGGGGACTGAGGGTGGCATACTTTCCCCTTCTGTAGGGTACTGGTCCCACTTCAGCTATAGGTGGGTAGCAAACAAAGGTCTTCATTGTTTGTTGGCTGAGCTTGTGGGGTCTCAATCCAAATCTCCAGTCATCAGACAGTCCAACATCAGAGCTAGTACTAATTGCTCTCCCTGTGGGGTCTCTCCATCTCCCAAGAGATTTAACTACTTTTCAGCTCTTCTATTAATCCTTCTCTTCAGGAGTGTGGTGCCCTGGGAGGTGGCAGCATATAGATGCCCAATATGGGTAAACAAAGACCATCAGTCAGTCACTGAGTCATCTTTCCCTCCTCCTTTCCTACTGATGCCACCCCTGATTTCAAGCTGCTCCCAGAACTATTGTCTTGTCATTTCCATACCATGGCATCCAAAAGACCATTAGTCTCTTCAATTAAATCCCACTGTTACGGCTTGCTTCTTAGCAAACCTACAAGCAATGGACCTATTAACAGTGGCTCCACAGTGAGTGATGAGGATAGCTGGTGATTGTCTGTTTCCTCCTTCTCTGCCACCCTTTGTGTGCTGCTCACTTTTAGATTGCAGGCTTCATGGGGTGGGGACTGTTTGCCCATAAGTTTGGATAGGACAGGGTATATTGTGGGTGCTACTGGAATGCAAACAACATTGTGCTTGCTACGCTAATTTGTGCTCTGCAGCTAAATCAGAACCTCTAAATTACCCACTGTGTCAATCGGGGAGGTAGGAAACCTCAGTGACAGCACCAGTCCTGGAGCCTGTTGGGACCAAATGGGGACATAGTCATTAAGAAACAATTAAATGAAAAGCAGATTAAGAAGAAAATGGGTTCCCCAGGGGCTCTTAGACAGGTTCCCACTTAGCTACAAAGAAACCTCTTCAATCTTAGTTTCTTTTTCTGTCCCTCATGGGCTGCTTGTGATTCTAATGTTCTCAGCCAGGTAGTTCCTAGCACCTCTTTACAGCCAGCAAATTGAGGGATTATTAATGCATTCCAGGAGGCAGCAGTATGAGCTGGGATGTAGTCTTGCATCCTTTGATTTGGTAGCTTAGGTCTGATGCTCTCACCTTGTTTTGCTTCATAAGATTGGGGAGCTACCTTGCTGAGCAATCATGTCAGCAACAGACAGATAAGAGCTACAGTCCCTCTGCTTCTCCAGGTGGGCATATCGGCAGCAAAGTTTCATACCTGCCAAAGCAGCCTTCCCAAATCATTCACTACCAGTGTCTTTGCAAATGGGTGACCCTAATTTTCTTCTCAGTCTGTCAGGAGGATCTCATGGGTCTACTGGCCCTTTCCTGAAATTGCTGTCAGTACTGATTGAATGATGCTGAGGTTATGTGGCCATCTTTAGCCTTTGAAATGCTGTAGGATATATGGGCATGTCCAATGCTGGGGAGTATATAAGACGACCAGTGCCTTCACAGGTTCTTGTCAGGTTTATATGGTCCTGGAAATTCCTTCTGCTTCACTGTTATTCATGGGAATGTGCCCTAAAGTGGACATTTCCTCCTGCTTGTCTCAAGGTAGCTCCCCAATCCCTTGTCTATAATTCATTACGGGGTGGAGATGAAGGAAGTTAGCTCAGTCCTCTACCAAGCTGGAGATTTACCTGGAATTTTCCCCTTAACCCTTTCCTCCCCTCTCTCGATAGCTCTTATTTTTTCAGTTTTCCTATCCCTCTAATCTTTCTTTTGTCTATTCTGTAGCATTCCTTCAATGTCCATGGCAACAGCATCTGGGTACCACTGTTGGCACTCTGTAAACTGATGAGGTTGCTTTTATGAAGGTCCTACCTTCAAATCAAAAGAAGTTATGGAGTGCAAAGTTTGTATTAGGGGTGCATCAAAGTGCTTTTAAGTGCGTAGCAGCCAGAAATGTTTCCTTTTGCAGGTTTTCTGTACAAGTGGGTACAGCTAGAAGGCTCAAACAGGACATTTCATGATACTTCAGCTTAATGTAGAATATGGTTGCCGAGAGAATGGATGCCATTATTTGCCAATGGGGAGGTGGTGGCAGCAGGTAGGGGGGAAGGATGTCTTGTGAGCTATAAAGAATCCATCCTTGAGTTACCTTTGTTGCTTTTGGAAATGCTTTGTCAGTGAAAGCCATTCAGGGAGGTTAATTACCTTCCTACCCTTTGGGAATCAAGCCGGGATGTTTTCCTTACTCAAGCTTCTGGCTATTGGGCTGTCAGTACATGGGCAATTAGCTGGAAGCTGCAACTTTCTGCTGTCACCATTTGAAATGCAGAGCCTGTTCCTGGCAGCTGTGGTGTTTGCCTCTGAACATGAGGTGGGTGTTTACAAAGAGGGTATTTTGGTGAGGAGAGGGGCCCAGCTGAAGAAGCCTTCTCTCTCTAAAAAGCATGTGAGTGCTTGGAAAGAAAGCCTAAACATTTTGGACAGCTCAGTCAGAAGAGAGGACCATACACAAAGGCTCTTGTGTTTCAGCAATACTTACATACTGAGTTATGGATAATTTAGTGATGAACCAAAATCCCACTCTGTGGACCTGCTCCTGCTGAGGGAGAGTCTAGGGAGCTCTCCATGGTGGGGACTTTGTGATGTACTGGCCCCTTACACAGATATCCTCACTTAGGGACTATTCCCATGACTTCCTGGCATCTTCCTTGGAGGGTGTGATGTAAGTTCATGGCCCATGTCAGCTGTTGACAGTGTTTACTAGAGCACTAGTGTTTTTTGTGATGTGGTCACCCATCAATAATGAACTGATCAGAGGCCAGTCAAATTAATTTTCTGTGAGACACTGAATAGCCACTAAATGGCAGTCTCTGTCTATTCCCTGAGCAGAATTGGAACCAGTGACAGAGAAACGTAAACTTCC